ATGGACCACAGTTATTTAAAAAGTATTTTGAATTTTTGTTTGTATAAACGTGCTGATTTTTGCAAATACGGACGTCCATACACATTGTCAGAAAATAAGGCGGTAGCTATATCAAATTTAAAATTTATTGATAATTTTCTAGTATTTCCTCAACAAGAGTCTTCGTAAGTAAGACTGTAAAGCCATGTACCCTAAATCCAATATAATATTAGATTACTTAGAAAATTTTGCCACATTTTTAAGATTACTGTGTAGATAAAAATATGATACAAAAGGCGTTCATATTGTAATTCATCAAGTAATTTTTTTGAGTTATGTACCCTTCATTTAAAAATGCAAAACATTAAGCTATCGGTAAATCTGTTAACATCCTATAAAAAACATTCATCGTGTTAAAAATGTCTTCTGCGATATTTTAAAATAATAGTAATATATTTTTTAATTCAGATTACTTACTTTACATCACTTATTTTCCTCAAATAAAGATTTAGAAAAGTATATTTATTTTTTAAAGATTTTTTAATAAAGATAATTATGTTGCGCTGACAGATTTGTCAATATCACCGATTTTAGTGATTAAAAAAGTAATTCCAATCAATTTAAATTGGGTTTGAAAGACAGCAAAGTATTTTGCTTATTGGAATATTAAATTAATTGATTAGATTTTAATTAAAACTAAAATAAATCATCAAGAATAAAATTTCATTTTTAAAATGAATTTTAAAACTTAGGCATTGTTTGTTTTTGGAGGTACCTAATTTATAGAAAATGTATTTTAATCTTAGCTTTAAAATTATAACCCTATAATGGGGCCCTAAAACGTCACCTTTATAGGCCCGAATCTATGTCTCCCATTGAAGAACTAGTGATTTTTGTTTTTAGCAATAGGGATTGCTCCAGATTTTTTTAAATATCTCCATTCCTAAAATAATTATTACTTTCCCAAATCAACACACATGATTATAAAATTAAGAAAACGGTTAAATTCATAACCTCTTATTATTTAAAATATATAAAACATAAACTAATCCCAAATTAAAATATTAATGTATATAAAAATTTAAAGAACATATTTTACTTATTTTCGTTTATCAGATATTAAATTATGTCACTTAGCTTCCTCCTTAACTTATCTAGAACTTCTCAGTTAACTTGATGATTATGTAGAGCGTTTCTTATATTTAAAAAAATTGAAAAAAACTAACATTTTTGTTCTTGTCTATAAATACTTGTTACAAATTGAAATCCTTGCGTTTGCATTTATAAAATCTTTCAGAGTACGATGATGATGCGCCAAGAAATTTGTAGGAGTTTTTTTTTATCTACTAAGTGTAATAAAAGTATATTTGGATATCAAGCCTTTGTGTCTGGTTAATATCTTTGTCTAGTTAAGAACAAAATGTTTAGTCTATCATTGTATAAACAGGTGGTAATGAATATCACCTGAAGGCAGTATCGGATTTGTTAAATTATTACGGAAAAAAAACGGATCATCAAAGGAACAAAGTAAAAATGATGCTTTTATTGCGATTTCTGGAAGAACGTAAGATAAACATTTATCGCTCTAATATTTTTTTACAGTGATTTTCACTCTATACAAAATTTAAGAGCCACTCGAGGTAGAGGATTACAGATTACGAGGCACAGTTTATTGGAATATGTGGGGCAAACAAAGGTTGATCCCAGACTTGAACACTAATGATCGGGGAAGCTTCCTCTTGGGAGTCACAAAGTAGCAGTTCGAAACTGTATTAAGTTGATGTTTTGTCTTAATGAAAATTTAAGAAATTTTTGTGACCCAACATTTTACTTAATTTTCAAAATACCTAATTATCTAAAGAGTTATTCCCAGGAATATGGGACAACCAACAAAGAATTGTAATATTTTAAATAACCTTTTTTCGAAAAAGAGAACAAAGACATGGGAGAAATATTTTTACTTAAAAAAAAATTCAGGAAAATCATATTATCAAATGAAAATCACAATCAAATATCTTCTGTTTCTCTAGAATTAACCAGATTGTAAATCTCTTAAAATGTCCAGCTCATTTATTTTTCTCTCTAGTTACAAAGATATAGACCCTATTGTCCCTATAATAGTAATTATTATTATTATTATTATTATTATTATTATTATTATTATTATTATTATCATTATTATTATTATTATTTTCTTTGATTTCTGGCGTTTACACATTTCTTTCCGGGTCTCGCCCAGGGACCTAAGTTTAAAAATGGCATCATGACACTTTCCACTGACAAAAAAAAAAAAAAAATTACATAGATAAAGCCCTTCGTAAAGTGTGGGCTGTACTTATCAGAACAATTATTTGTATCTCCTTGAGGCATGGACATCCAGGAATCCCTTCAATTAGTCTACTGCAATCTTTTCCAACCAGTCCTAAGGCTCCAACTACAACAGGGATTGTTGATGTTCCCATATGCCATATTTTCGAGATTTCTATTTCAAGGTCCTTGTATTTTGACATCTTTTTGAATATCTTCAAAGATACATTACAATCAGCAGGGACTGCCATATCAATAAGGAGGCACTTTTTTTGTTTGTGGTCTTTAATAACAATATCTGGGCGGTTGGCTTTGATTGTTCTGTCAGTGTGTATTGTGTAGTCCCATAAAATTGTAACAGGTCCTATCTCTGTAACCGGGTCTGGGTGGTGTTCATACCAGTTTCTTTCAGTTTCCTTCCCGTAGAAGTTGCAGATTTTCCATTGCAGATATTGGCCCACTCTGTCATGCCGGGTTTTATATTCAGTGGGGCCAATATCGTGCAACCTGATACAAGATGATCAATCGTTTCTGGATATTTATCACAGAATCTTCATTTTGGGCTGACACAATATTTTAGTATATGTGCTTAATAATTCCTAGTTAGCAAGCATTGGTCCTGTGCAGCAAGGATAAAACCTTCAGTTTCAGCTTTCAACCCTGCACTACGTAGCCACTGATGGGTACGGGTTTTGTCTACGTCAGCTGGTTTGGTAAGGGCAGGGTATTGGCCATGAAGCGGTTTATCTTGCCATCGCTTCTGTATCTGGTCGGTTGCATTCGTCTTTGCTGTTTTTTTAAAAGTATTTTGCAGTTTCAGCCGGTGTATTGTACTGTGGTTGCATCTCTACGCCCATTTGAAACTCCATTTTGAATTTGTTGGCTTCTTTCATTACGGAGTAAAGACGCTTACTACTTTCTTGTTCCTTGACGGATACCATCATCCAGTCTTCTGTAGTTTACAAGTGTCTTTGGAGGCCAATTGTTGTAGTTTTGTAGGACAGTTCTAGTTGAACTAATCCTCTGCCTCCTTCGGATCTGGGCACATACAGACGATCAACATCAGCTTTGCGATGATGCATGCGATAGCAAGTGAGAAGCTTTCTCGTTTTGGCGTCCATTCGCTTAATTTCAGCTATGGTCCAGTTAAGTACATTAAAGCTGTATTGCACCACAGGGACAGCCAATGTGTTTATGGCTGATATTCTGTTTTTTGAGTTTAGCTCAGTATTTAGTACCAGACGTACACGCCTGTAGTACTCTTATTTTTTCTTCATTTGGGGGTATTGTATGCCATCTCCTTCGCTAATTTGTTGCATGCCATTTCCTTCGATAATTTTATCATTATTATTATTATTATTATTATTATTATTATTATTTGGGTTCCTGTTGTATACACATTTCCTTCCGGGTCCCAACCAGTGACGTAAGGTCAAAAATGGCTTCATGACATCCCCATGGATCATTTTTCGTAACCTCCCCCCTCCAAAGCTAAAAACACCCATATTTTATATAGACAAAGCTCTTCGTAATGTAATCAATAAAATAATCAAGACTTTCCTTTTAAAATATGACATTGTTTTCTTTAACCAATGACCTCGCCCCACCACAAAAAATGTCTATTCATTCTGACATCAGTGTTTTTCTTTCCGCTGATCATTTTCGTAAAATAAAAAAAACAAATTCTAAGATCACACACATTTTACATAGATAAAGCTCTTCGTAATGAGTGAACTGTATTTGAGAGTACAATTTTTTGTATTTCTTTAAGGCATGGGCTACCAGGAATCTCTATAATGAGTCTATCGAAACCTTTTCCAATCAATCCAAGTGTCCCAACTACAATTGGAATTATTGATGTCTTCACGTGCCACATTTTTTTTTTAGATTTCCACTTCAAGATCTTTGTATTATGGTAGATTTCTTCTTCAAAGGAACATTACAACCTACAGTGACTGTCATGTCAATAAGAAAATACATTCTGTTTTTGTGATATTTGAACACGATATCTGGGCGATTAGCTTTGATTGTTCTGATCTGTGCGTATAGCAAATTTCCATAAAATTGTTACAGGTTCTATCTCTGTAACCGGGTCAGGTTGATGTTCATACCAGCTCCTTCCCGTAAAAGTTGCATATTTCCCAGTGTAGATATTGGCTCACTCTATCATGCCGAGTTTTATATTCAGTCTGTGCTAACATCGTGCAATCTGATCCAAGATGGTCAATTTTATTATAATTATTATTAATAATAATTATTATTATTATTGTTGTGTTTGTTATTATTATTTTATTTTATTTTATTTATATTTATATTATTTATTTCTAGTCCCGCCCAGGGACCTCAGGTCAGAAATGGCATCATGGCACTTTCCACTGACCAAATAAAACACACACACACACACACACACACACACACACACACACACACACACACACACACACACACACACACACACACACACATTTGCATAGTTAAAGTCCTTCGTAATGTGTGGACTGTACTCGTGAGAACAATTTTTTGTATTTCTTTAAGGCATGGGCTTCCAGGAATCCCTTCAGTGAGTCTACTGGAATATTTTACAACCAATCCGAGGGTACCAACTACAACAGGGATTGTTGATGTTCCCATGCGTCACTATTTTTTGAAATTATTATTATTATTATTATTAATATTTATATTATTATTTAATTAACTAACGATACACCCTGTCATTACTTGCCATGAAGAATGGCGCATTCCTGCTCGGCTGTGGGGATCGACTGCAGAAAAGATATATCAAAGTCACTGATTGATTTTAAGGAAAGAAAACGAAAAGAAAGACAGGCAGAAAGACAGGCAGAAAGAACGAACGAACGAACGAACGAAAGAAAGAAAGAAAGAACGAACGAACGAAAGAAAGAAAGAAAGAAAGAAAGAACGAACGAACGAACGAAAGAAAGAAAGAAAGAAAGAAAGAAAGAAAGAAAGAAAGAAAGAAAGAAAGCCAGAGAAGATAGAGGAGTATTTATGTATTTAACGTCTGCTTCAGTGAAATGGGAAACCTTATCACTTTTGAGTTTTTTCATTTGTAACCTCTTACTTTAAATAATAACCTGTATTGTTATAGAATATTTTGTTAAAGCTTCTAAGCTCAAATATTTAACAATAAATGTAATGGTGTGGAGCTCATAGAAAAAATATGATTAATGTTCCACTAATGGTGAATATTATTTTTTCTATTAAGGGCATTGAAAAGGAAAATATTAAGCTGCAAAATCAATATTTATTGTGTAAAAATACATTCTTTTTCACAAATATATTACCGATTTATTGATTTTCCTATGATTAAAGATTTATTGATTTTCCTATGATTAAAGCATTTTAAATGTTAGGCTTTAAAACCGTTGTAAAAAGTCAGTTCAGGAAATTTAAGCATGAGCAGAAACATTGAAATATTCATTAATTACGAGGAGACAAGGATAACATCAAATATAAAAAGCTGTGCAATACCTACAGTCTATGAATTTTACGGTAGGTGAGCTTACTATACAATGCAATCATTATTGACAGGACGACATCGATTACTACACCTTAACTGGGTCAGAGAAGATCGCTCTTGGACCATAGTCACTTGGATAAATGAGTTAGTTCTCCTGTTCTTTCTAGTAAACGGACTAATCTGTATATGAATGAGGCATCACGAGGCTATGGATCCAGCTTGTCAGTGGGGTACATCTTGGGTATATGAATATAGTGTAAGGGAGACAACTGCTAAAGGCCACATGAGATAGAAAGTTGTGAAGAGCCATGATCGCCTATGTCTTGAATGAACGCGTCACACAGAAGAAGAAGAAGAAGAAGAAGAGAGAAGAAGAAGAAGAAGTAGAAGAAGAAGAAGAAGAGGAAGAAAAAGAAGAAGAAGATTTGTTAGTGAATACACTATAGCTTGAAGATGTGTATATAATGTAATGGCAAAACTGAGCAAGGAATTAGCGAGCTGAGTTAGAATTCAGTTTGAGTTAGTTACATCCACTTTTACACAAATACCCTCGGAAAAGGTATGAATACATATCTTTTGTCCCCAGCTATAGGTCAAATAGCATAACAGACTAAGCTCTCTAGCTGTGGTTGGCAGCCAGTCTATGTGAAGGAAAACTTTGAAATCAAAACTGTATATAATCGTATAGAAGTACATACTATACAGTCTTGGAAAAGGGGATAAAGACTGCAGTGCGGGGTTTGGACTAAAATGAGGCCGGCGACATCCTTCACGGGTCATTTTTTGTAATATTCTTAGCTTTGTCAAACTTATATAATAATTGATGTCCACTCGCTGCATGAGAATAACCACCAAACGAGAAGTGGGTGATAAGGTGGTTCCTTCCAACCCTTGGAAACCTGACGGTACTCGTGAAATTATTTATAGTCATAGATAGCTTGCGTAACACTATGCCGACTCTTACCTGTCTTGATTCAATTGCAAGAACCAGATAAAATAACTGGTGACTCTCTGTATCATATAGATTTCAAGTAGTCTTTATGATAAGACACTGATTGTTAATACCAAAATCATATCTTATAGTGCTTACAATACAGGATGTTACCAAGCTTTCCTCACCCCATATAAATACAGACCAGACACAACGCTCACACTATATCATATAAAATAATAATGTAATCACAAATGTTGGGAAAATAAATAGTTTTCGTTATTTTAAAAACAAAATTTACATAACACAATATATATTATGAAATCGACCAAAAACGACTATTATTTTAATATATTTTCTGTTTATACTTTATTTTTATAGATACAAATATTTAAGTAAATGCTCAGTTTATAATGAACAGTATTAACTATATTTACCGACCTGAATGTCCTAGAAATTTCATAGAAAATGTGTGTTCTCTGTCAGGAGTCGAACCTGTATGTTACACGGAACCGTCACATAGCTTGACATGCTATACCATTTAGCTACAGAGGAAGCGTCTAGTAAGCAATGAGTAAGTTTCAAGGAAAAAGGAAGCAAAAAGAACACATACTTAGAATCAGCAAAAGTTGAAATTTCAGGAACACATAATGAGGAAGGAAGGCAAGGAGAATCTAATAATCATAGTACATATTGAAGATAAGAGAAGCAGAGGAGAACATCGAGTGACCTATATAACAAGAATGTATAAACGAGAAGGAAAATGGATGATAAAGAATCAAAACTTGTATAGAAGTACAAA